TTACTGCTCTTGGTGAGTTCACTACGTCTCAGAATAAGTAAAACCTGATTATGGATTCAAATTTGATTCATATATGAACCCTTATGTAAAGAGTGTCTTCTTACAGAAATTTTCCTGTGGACTTATCAATAATGTAAAAAACTTAGCCACAAGAAAAATGCAAGAACCCAATCCCTATAGTCTTGATTCATCTCATTTTAATTATAAGAATAGTTTTTCTATCCTTTATAAAAAAACTACCCAAAATGATCATTTTTCTATAGTTATATTTATCCAAGAATATATCTGCCTACAATGTACAAAACTGCTCATGCCATGGGAGAATGCAAAGCTAAATCAGACTCAGATCTTGCCACCAGAGAATGAATAGCATGAAAAGGTATATGAAATAGGTTTTGTTAGACTCTCCTTCTTATTTAATCTTACAGCTCACATTAGGCTTAATGCTCCTGGATGAGAGCAAATGTCAGAAAAATAGTTAAGCAAATAGGATAGTATATCTTCCCAGGGTCCAAAGAAAATTCAACCACATTAGTAGAATAAATTCTACCAACTTCTAACTTGGGGTTTTCTTCCATGAAGATAAAATTTAAGCTTCATGAGGGTGAGGTCTTTATCTATTTTGCTCACCACTGTATTCCTTGACCAGTTCTAGCATATAGTAGCCACTCAATAAATATCAGTTCAGTGGCCCTAGCTGGTTGGCTCAGTGGATAGAGCATCAGCCTGTGGACTGAAAGGTCCCAGGTTCGATTCCAGTCAAGGGCATATGCCTGGGTTGCTGGCTCAATCCCCAGTGGGGGACATTCAGGATGCGGCCAATCAATGGTTCTCTCTCATCATTGAGTTTCTTTTTTTCTCTCTGAAATAAAAATTAATTAATTAATTAATTTAAAATATATATATATTGGTTCAGTGAATGAAAACATCAGTGACTTCAAATAGTATAGGTAAAAGCAACAGGAAGAAACAGTGTCTAAAACCATATTATGGTAGAATCAACAGATATGCAACTTTTAAAGTTAAATGATATTCTATTAATTTAAAACCCAAGTCCAGTCTCTTTATAATATTAACCATTTTTCTCTGTCACAACCATATCCAAATTTGTCATCTAAACATCCTCCAGTATAGAGCTACATTGCATTTTAACTTGATTTGCATATATTTTTTCTCCTTATATTAACTAGAGGCCCAGCGCATGAAATTCATGCACGGGTAAGGTTCCTAGGCTTGGCCTGCGATCAGGGCCATCTTCCCCAGCTGCTGGCAGCCGGCCACGTCCCCCGCCGCCACCCACGCCCAGTTCCCTGTTCACCATTAGGCGATCGGAGCCTGCCAGCTCAGGGGAGGGACCGAGAGGTCGGACATTCCCGCCTGCTCGCCGACCCGCCCCTGCTGCGGTTCACCCTCTGTAGGTAAGGTTCCTAGGCTTGGCCTGAGATCAGGGCCATCTTCCCCGGCTGCTGGCAGCCGGCCACGTCCCCCGCCGCCACCCACGCCCAGTTCCCTGTTCACCATTAGGCGATCGGAGCCTGCCAGCTCAGGGGAGGGACCGAGAGGTCGGACATTCCCGCCTGCTCGCCGACCCGCCCCTGCTGCGGTTCACCCTCTGTGTGTGGGGTGACCAGTGGGGCGGGGGCCTTGGCCTGGCACTGCCCACATCCCCTGCCACCCACCCTGGGTTCCCCGTTTGCCCCCAGGCAATGGGAGCCTGCCGGCCAGGGAAAGGGACTAAGAGGTGGTCAGTGTGCCTCATAGTGACTGGTCGAGTGGTCGTTCTGGTCGTTCTGGCCTTTAGGGTCAATTTGCATATTACCCTTTTATTATATAGCATAAATGGTGCATGTACAGTTCTGTATCTACTAAACATCCTGCTCCATTTGGTACAACTCTAACAATGTTATGGGCTTTTCTGATCACAAGAGAGAAAATTCATTTCTTTAATGCATATTTTTCCAAGTTTTCTCAGAATTCATTTATTTAGAATATTCTATTTTTACTAATTGAAGTGAATTTAGCTCCCTTATCTAATATAACAGGTTCAGATTTACTATTTTATCAATTCTACCCCAAATTGCTTAACAATTGCAACATAAGGAAGAAAACATGCATGCACTAAAAGAGTTGTAGCTCAATATGATAGGGAGTTCAAATTTGGAGGAATAGTCAAGGGGAGCATTGAATTAAAGGAAGCCCTGTATACCTAGGATATGGGGCAGGGCATTCCAGACAAGTAGAACAGCATAAACACAAGTAGAGCCACAGAAGAAAATGTCGTTCTGCCTTACTAGTGTGTGTGTGTGTGTGTGTGTGTGTGTGTGTGTGTGTGTGTATGTGTGTGTAAACAAGAAAAATATGACCATGAAGGGTCTAGGTTTATTCTAAAAGCAGCTGAATTATTCTGTAGTACTGAAGACCTTAGATGATTACAAATAAGTAAAGTTGACATGATAGCAATGACGGCCAGCAGACACTATAGGAAGGGAGCCCAGTTAGAAAGAAGCTAAAACTAGGTCACTTGGTGAGGAACACTATGAACTATGGACCAACAGTCATACATTCAAACCTGAGAAAGCCAAAGCAGCGTGTGTGTGTGTGTGTGTGTGTGTGTGTGTGTGTGTGTGTGTGTGTGTGTGTGTTGTGGAGATAAAGGAACAGAAACTGAAAGAGAAGACTGTTTGAAAATTAACTTATACCCCCACAGACAATAAGACAGGGAATGGGGGAGTGTTTACCATGAACTAGGTATGGACCCCTTAGAAAAGAGATTTGGCCCAGAGCCATCTTGCATTCTGTCCAAGTGGTTTTCTAGTCAGGTGAACAAGACCATGTTAACGTTCCCCTCCGCTGGACTGAATTTTAGACAGGCAGGCTTCATCCTGACTCTAGGCCTCTGACCTCATTTGTCTTAGAGAATTTACTTTAGAAAACTTTCAATTAGAAATTCTTTCCTTGGCTCCTTTGGGTTGTAAATCTTCTTTGAAATCTTTTTGCCAGTTTCACAACCCAGGAGTGTCTTTCTGCAGGACCTGGAGCCATCGCTTTCTAAAATAATCAAGAAAATAATGGTCCTATCAGCCAGTCTCCGGGAGAGTGGGAGCCTAGCTTCAATGGGTGCCTTGCTCCAAGTTGTAAATTGCCTCCAGTCATGACAATATGAGAAAGCTTATTTTTGAGGGGGTAAGGCCTACTAGCAAAACAGGTAGCTTATGATCCCTTCACCTCAGCTCTTAAAAACTCTCACATTCAGAGCAAAGACTGAATTCTAGCCTCTCTCCACTATTGCATTAGGCTTGAATAAAGTCTTTCTTGCCTTTTGAACTTTGTCCAGTGCAACTTTTTCTTTGACACAGGAAAGTGGTTGTCCAACAGCAAGAGTCAGCATATAATGTGAAAAATCAGAGTGGGACCAAGTTAAGAGTGACAAGCCAAAGGCAGGCTATTGCACAAGCCCTAGAAATGGCTGTTGACAAAGGGTGTCTAAAGCTTGCACTAATCCTCATGAGTCACAGGGTTGACAATTTAACTGCTAAATATAGAGGGCCCTCGGTTCAATTTGAATTTCAAATAAACAACAAATCACTGTTTTAGTATAATTATGTTTCAAACATTGCATGAGATCTACTAAAACAATGGTTTGTTGTTTATTTGAAATTGAAGGATAACTGAGCATCCTATATTTTATCTGGCATTCCTACCAGGAGAAATACATTTTAAACATCCGCTATTCCTAGAGAGCAAGAGGCCTGCTTGCAACATTAGTCACCAGCTCTAATAGCTCTCCTTACTGTGTGCTTCTTTCCACCTCACCTTGTCTTCTCCCATTTCAAGCTAGAAAGGTCCAAAGCAGCAGCTAGCCTGAAGGGGAGGGGGGTGCGGGGTGACAGGGAGGAGAAGGAAATACGAACAGAAACCAGCTTCTCCCTGCCCCTCAAGACAGACAGACAGCAGGTGTCAGGCACCCCACAGCTTTGACTGGTGAACGGGGCTAAGGAAGTCATATCTATGAAGGAAAATGTAAAGTGTTGATACATTTCTTAGACTGGTTATTAGTTTTTTAAATTATTGTACAATTTAGAAAGAAAGTATGACGCATAGGGATTGCCAAGTTTTCACCCAGAGGCAAAGAAAACTTCCCCATTGTGAGAGAAACAAAAAATAAAGTTGCATTTCCAAATCTTATGTAATATACTTGCTCAGTGTACCAAGTCCATAGATCTAAGTATATATATGACAATAAGATAAATACTTTTTAACACTTATGTCTCAGGATTTTATGAGATTAAGCATTTAAAAGATTAAGAATTCTAATTACTAATAACCTTGCATAGTATAGTAATACTTAAAAATACCTTATGTATCAGTGAAAAGCACTAAATATTAATGACTATTAATAAAAAGAATGTAACAGTTTTCTAATATTTTTGTGTCACAGGTGTTTGTTTTTATTGAAGTGTAATTACATCAAATAAACTTTATCAATTGTAAGTGTATTAATTTGATGTCTAGTCATTTATATCACAGAATATTTTAAGAATCTAATGAAAACTATTATTTCACATATGCAGGAACACAGATGTTTTTCATACAATTTCAGGGTGTTTATTCTCCCTTAAACAAAAAAAATTTATATTCTTGTTTTGAGACTTTTCCTCTAAACTGGAAATTGATTATATGAGAAATGACTTTACAAACGTATTGTACTTATATATCTAAATTGCTTAATGTTGCAACTAAATAATATTTGTAAATATCAGTTTTATCTTTTTAAATGAATGCTATTAATATTATGTTCTCATCTGCTTGATTAGCAATATAATACAGAGTGTTCCAAAAAATATATACACACTTTGAATAATTATAAAGCCAGTGTTTATTAAAATACATGTCATTTTCAAAATTGAGCTGTCAGCTGTTAAAGTATATATACATTTGGGGGGAGAGGGAGAAACCCTGCATATCAGAACACATTAACATGACTGTGTGTGTTTTTTTAGATACAGGTTTATTTTTCCCATCTTTCAATGGGAATTCCTATTTAGAACTGCCTTTCTTTGCAACCCTAAGTGAGTTGAAGTCTGTCCTGGAAAAAGAACATAACAGAATTGTTACCATCTACTTGACTATAAAAACAAACACGCTGAATGGAACCATTCTCTACAGTGAGTATGAAATGTTTGACCTCCTATGTGTTCAGTTTCTTTCTCAAATATTAACCTATTGAATCAATGAACTATTCACTTAAATATTATGGGAAAACTTTTCTAGCCTAGTGCAGTGATCAGAAAACTCATTAGTCAACAGAGCCAAATATCAACAGTACAACAATTGAAATTTCTTTTGGGAGCCAAATTTTTTAAACTTAAACTATATAGGTAGATACATTGTTATTAACTTAATTAGGGTACTCCTAAGGCTTAGGAAGAGCCACACTCAAGGGGCCAAAGACCCGCATGTGGCTCGTGAGCCGCAGTTTGCCGACCACGGGCCTAGTGCATAAAGCATTACCCCACCCCCCACCCCCAAAAAAAAAATCTTTGTGCTTTCTAGTTTTCTTTGGACATTTCTTTAATTTATGAGTCATTCAATGGAACATGACTTATCAACAGGCTCTGAACCAGAAGGAAGGATACAGCAAGCATATATATGTCATAGCTATTGCAGTAAAACATAAATGCTACAAATGTTTCAGAGCAATTTTAAAGATTTTTATGAGAAGAAGGAAAAGAGAGAGAGAGAGAGAGAGAGAGAGAGAGACATCTATGTAAAAGCGAAACATCAACTAGCTGCCTCCTGTACACCCCCCTACTGGGGATCGATCCTGCAACCTGGGCATGTGTCCTGACCAGAAATCGAACCCACAACCCTTCAGTGCATAGGATGATGCCCAACCTCACTGCCCAGGGCCAGAGCATATTTTTATAATATAAACCACTAAATATAAATTGCATTTAGTACTTGGTAACTTGGAAAAAGCCATTCCAAACCTGAGATTCATTTGAAAATTAGGGAAATTCCTATCACTCTTTTAGCATTATCTTAAAACTAGAGGCCTGGTGCACGGATTCGTGGACCGATGGGGTCCCTCTGTCCTATGCCCTCGTGCAATCCGGGACCCCTCAGGGGATGTTGGACTGCCTGCCACTCCTGCCTGCTGATCCTGCTCATCCAGGCCCTGCTGCACCTGCCACAGGATCATGGCATACCATGAAATGGTCGTATTAAAGTATTTTGCAAAATCAATTAATCATTCTATACTTTCTAAACACGGGATCGCGCCCAGTCAGTCGCCAGCTGTGAGCCCTGTTTCTGGTGCCCGTTGGTCAGCTGAGCGGCACTCCTGCTGTGGGAGTGCACTGACCACCAGGGGGCAGCTCCTGCATTGAGCATCTGCCCCCTGGTGGTCAGTGCGCGTCATAGCGACCAGTTGACCGGTCATTCCGTTGTTCAGTCATTCAGTCATTCGGTCTCTTAGGCTTTTATATATATAGATTAGTTGGTGTAACAAAAGTAGTATTAACAGTATTTGTTTAAGGAAATGCCTCTATCTCTAGGGTTTTCTACATTATGCAATATGCTCACAAGGATCTCTGTAACCAGAATTGATGGCCCTCTTTCTTCTATGGCCAGACATCACTAAGTAAATTACTTGCAGTATTCCAAATGTGACAATTGTTTTTTCTCTTTTGAAATGAATGCACAATAATTTTAACAATTCCCTATATTGGAGGTGTAATGTCTTCTTGAATTGATTGTCTACTGCAGGGCAACTCATTATTTCCCAGATCATTTTTCTCCTCTATTTTAAAGTATTTTGCAAAATCAATTAATCATTCTATACTTTCTAAACAAAATTAAAACCTTTTTATTGTTTGAGTAAAATGCCTAAAAGAAGCAATTTTGGAAAACTGGATACATCAGAAGTTTTGAACATTAAAACTAAGAATGCATGTTATATTTTAGAAAGAAACTAACTTGTCAGAACGAGGCCAGCATTATTTATTTCCCAGGAATATAAGAACCCTGCTTAAATGATGGCTTTAGGATGTCTGATTTATTTATGTTAAGAGAGAGAGAGAAGATTTAGGAAAGGAAAATTTGCTTTTATATTCAAAACTTAAATGATGGTAGACGACCATGAAATTTGGAGGTAATGGTGCATTTCAGGGGAAACGAAACAAAACTGAACAGAACAAAAACACAAACATAATAATTTAAAGCCACAAAGCAAAGTGATTTTCTGGCTCTGCAGTTTTTAGTCATATCGAATTGGAAGGTGTTTCCTTTGGGAAAGTATGATTTTACCAACTAAAAACAGCTCTTAGCCAAAGAAGCAGCCAACCTCTGGGAATTCTCCTCTGGGCCCTTGCTCCTGGCTCATGTCTATTCCACCACTCAATGTGCTCCTTTTGAAAGCCATAGAAATACATGCCAAGCATGTATATACCCTGCTCAATTCAGTTCTTTAATTTAAACCAATAAAAAACCCAAGGCGATACTAGTGCCATAGGATTATTTTTGCCTTTCATTATCCATTGACCGACCAAAAAAATTAAACTAGAAATTATTAGTAAGAAAAAAAATGCCATTGCAATGATTACCTAACTCTGTCCTTGTTTTCTATAATTCTTGTTGTCACCGCACTGAATACATCAAGGCTGTTTACTCATGGGAGTTCCATAGCCTATGAATGGAGATAATAATTTTGTTTGTAAAGCATTTCTTTCGTTCATTTGTAAAGTGGCCATTCAATCCTACACTGTTGGGAATACCTCAGTAGACTGTTTCATGAGATTGTTGCTTTTACTCCTCTTAGAATTTGTCAAACTCAGAAGCCTCACAACAGATGAACACAAAGACTTTTGTGATTCAGTTAGACATCCATAGTTTTGAAAGGTGTTGCTTAACTTGACTTAGGGCTAGTTTTCTTTCCTTTGAAATCAGTATATTCTATGTAGGAGCAATTAAAAATAGTAAGGAAGTTAAATCAAATGTTTCACGTTAGAGTCTAGATGTTAATTTTTGTCTGGATTTTTGTCTTTTGTCTTTTTTTTTTTTTTAGTTTTGCCGGTTTTTTCCATTTCTGAACATTTCAGTAAAAATTCAATTCCATTCTGCAAACATTTATTGAACATTTGTATTTTGTTATCATCAAATATTAAAGGGAAAAGGATAGCAGGTTGTAAGCCATTGTCATCTTTGAATTATATTCCTAGTTCAAAACCGTAGATTTACCTTTTCTCAGTTTGCCTCTCCAACTAATTGATGTTGAAAAGGAAAAAAAAGGAAGATAAAACTTGAATCCTTGTGGGGTTATAGTAAAAACCCTTAGAAAAGATTGCTTAAAAAAGAACACTCTGTGGGAGAGAGAAGGCTCTGAGAACAGCAGTCGGGATGAAAAGCACGTTTTCTGAATCTGCCACTGAACCAATTCAGAATTCTGGAACCCAGTCCAAGGAGCTACTATAGGTCACAGGAGAAGGGAGGAGACCACACAAAACTCTTTAGGTGCGCTTTCAGAAAACGAGCTCTGCTCAGCAAGCAGTATCAATCAGGGGGTTTCGTCGTGGGATGTATTACCATGCAGTTGAATCCATTCTGTGCTGCTTCTCTGAAAAGAAATAAGCAAGCCCTTTGGAAGTATGTGATCTTTGAGAATTAGGAGCAGACATCTGACCAAGTGACAGGAGGCAAATTACATGAGCAACTCCAGTGGGAGCACTGGATTCAGAAGCAACCTTGATATTATTTTGTGTTTGTCTTTAAGAAAGAAAGTAAAAGAAGGGCTAGTTTTAGGTATTTATTCCAGGTAGGAATCAACAGGAAAAGTAGGATGATTGGGCCCTCCTGTTTTGTGCATTTAGGAAGGGCTAAAAGAAGAGATTTCTGATATTGCTGAAGGAAGCAAATTAAATCTAAAGAATCAGACATCTGCCTTTCTCTATAAAATGATTCTCAGCAGAGTACAGAATATCTTCATTAGATACTTCATTGACCAAGGCCAATGAAATCCTATAGTATTTCCTGACATCATATTAAAAAACATCTTTTCTTATAGAAAAAAACGTATGCTGTCACAAATAGGAAGGGTAATAATGCTAAGTGAAATAAGTCAGAGAGAAAATGGCAAATACCATATATTTTCACTTATATGTGGAATCTAAAAAATGAAATAGACAAAATTGAAACAGACTCATATATACAAAGAACAGACTGATGGTCGACAGAGGGGAGGGGCTTTGGGGCTTGGTGGAAAATGTGAAGGGATTAAGAAGTACCAATTGGTAGTTACAGAATAGTCAAAGGGTTGTAAAGTATGGCATGAGGAATATAGTCAATAATATTGTAATAACTATGTATGGTGTCAAGGTAGGTACTTGAACTATTAGGGGGATCACTTTGTAAAGTATATGATGGTCAAATCATTGTCTAACCTATGATGTATACCTGAAACTAATACAAAATAATATTGAATGTAAACTGTAATTGAAAAATAATATTTTAAAAGAGTTTGCTCAAATGTTTTAATCAATTTTACAATACCTACCATAAAATGTTGGGGGAATTTTTGTCCTATCTTAATAACTCCCAATGGAGCTTGTTCTAGATCAGTGGTTCTCAACCTTCCTAATGCCGCGACCCTTAATACAGTTCCTCATGTTGTGGTGACTCCCAACCATAAAATTATTTTCGTTGCTACTTCGTAACTGTAATTTTGCTACTGTTATGAATCGTAATGTAAATATCTGATATGCAGGATGTATTTTCATTGTCACAAATTGAACATAATTAAAGCATAGTGATTAATCACAAAAACAATATGTAATTATATATGTGTTTTCCAATGGTCTTAGGTGACCCCTGTGAAAGGGTCGTTCGACCCCCAAAGGGGTTGCGACCCACAGGTTGAGAACCGCTGCTCTAGATGAATAAGAAAGGGAGTAGAGTTGAAAGCATGGATAATAGATTCATACATTTCCATTCATTAGTTTGTAGAGATTTCCTTTTATTTTACCTTATCTTTTTTATGACAGCAAAAGTCAAATTCAACAAAACTGAGTGCCTAGAAAGTGCATCACACTCTGCTAGGCACTGTGAGGAATATAAAGATGAGTAAGAGATGCCCTAGCCGGTTTGGCTCAGTGGATAGAGCATTGGCCTG